AGGGACTCGCGAATGGAGCGAGCCTCGTAGGAGTCCTGGCGGACGAAGGTGTTCTCGTAGCGGTCAAGGAACTCGAGGTAAAGCTTGTCCTCAGCCGAGAGGGACTCCTCACCGACGACGGCCTTCATGCCGGCAACATCCATACCCTGAGCATAGTTGGCGTACTGTGTGTGGGTGTGTGCGGTTCCGGGGGCGGGGGCGGGGGGGGGGGGGGGGGGGGGGGGCCACGGGATGGTCAGTGGATGTGGGGGGGGGGGGGGGATTGCAAACGGGAGATCAGCAAAGGGATGGGATGGCATGGAGCAGGTGAGACGCAAGGTAATCGGAGGAACGCACGCGTCCACATGGCGGAACATGGCCAGCTTCTTGGGCATGATCTCCGAGAGGAGGACCACGGTGAAGGTCTTGCCAGCCTCCGTCAGGCTGGTCTTGAGTTTCTGCGAGGGGCGCAGCAGGTATAGCGGGAAAGGAAGCCAAGACAATGGGTCAGAGTCGCAAAAAGCACATGGAAAGGAGACACCCGAAGCAGGGGAAAGATGCATACCTCCACAACCTTGGGGCTGCCTTGGCGACCAAGGGTGCCGAGAATGATACCAAAGTGATTGGCAGTCTTGGCTATTTGGGCGAGACCCAGCGCCGGGGAGCGAGAGGGGCGGAGAATGTCAGAGGATCGGCAGGAGGGATGGAGGAAGGACGGCAGGGGGATGTGTCGAAGTTTGCGGTAGCAGGGCGCACCTCGCTCGATGGCCTGCTTGCGATAGGAGTGCATCTCCTCGACCTCGTAGTACTCGCGAGTGAAGGACTTGGCATAGGGATCGTAGCGGAAGGCCGGGAGCTCGGGATTGGCGATCATGGCAGCCTCGAGATGGAAGCGACCATCCGCCAGGTAAACCATGGCATCCAGGCTGGTCACCGTGTCGTCGGCATTTTTCAGACCAACGAACCGCGGTGCCGTACAGCCAAGAAGCTCCCCCGGCGACAGGGGCCGCGATTGGGGAACCGTGATCTGGAATTCATCAGCCAGGACCTTGCTCGCCATTGACAGGGAGGCCAGGAATTGGACTGTCCCGACAAAGGCCAGCTTTGACTGGGGGGGGAAATTCAACCTGACCGTCTCGATGAAGTGCTATGGTGGTGCCGAGAGGGAGGATGGAGAGGGAGCAGGGAAAGGAGGGGGCAATGGTCAGAGGAAGGGACGCAAAGGGGAGTCGTGTGTGGATGGTGGAGCCCGTATCGCGGTGCTGCGAAAGCATGTACCTTGACATCGACGGAAATATCCACGAAAATGTACATGGTGATGATGCCGGTAACGTCAATCGGAACCAGGCAGCTGTGGCCATAGTGCAGGAGGAAGTCGCATCCGGCCGCCATGGCTGAGAAGTCATCGATGCAACAGGCGCCATAGGTGACATCGCCAAGGATGACACAGGTCACATCGCAGAACCTACTCTTTGTGGTCAGAGGGGAGGCCGGGAACAGTGGGGCAACGGAATGGCAGGACAGGCGGCGCACCTCTCCAGGATGTCACTGATCGGGCATGCATACATCATCAAGCCCTCGGGGAACTGCATGCCGACTGGCGGGGCGGACAGGAGCCAAAGAGGGGGAGGGGAGGGGAGGGGGGGGGGAGAGAGAGGCATGAGCATATGTCAGCTACGTGGCACCAGAGACCGCACGGCACACCTCCAACCGCGGAGGAGGCAATGTGAGAAGGCAACGCACCCCGCTTGACCTTATCCCGGCGCAAGCGCCACACGGTCTTGTGGATCTCGAAGTTGTAGTTGGTCGGCAACTGCTGAATGGCCGCATTGAGCTCCTCGTCATTGAGGATCTCCTCAGGCACGAGGTTCGAGCTGAAGGCGGCCGAGGGCTTCTTGGTAACCGAGGCGCCTCCGATGTCCTCGATCGCCATCAGAGCGACAGAGTCCTCCAGGGCAGTCATGTTTGTTGTGTGCGTGTGTGCGTGTGTGTGTGTGTGTGTGTGTATGTGTCTGTGCTGACGTGGCGACGGGACAGGAGAGATGAAGAGGTGGGGGATGGGGTGGAGGGGGGGAGATTACATAGAGGAGCTTCCGCCGGAGAGCTTGTGCGGAGGCCGAAAAAACTCCGCCTCGCAGGGCTCTCCCTTCCCGATCCGTGGCCAATCCTCAGGCAAAGGCCCGAAGGCGGGTCTTGATCGTACGCCAGCCACCACCCTCTCGCCATGCTTTTCGTAGGCGACGCATGACCATCGTGCTGAATGTCCAGATCATTAACCCGGATCATCGGAGCGCATGGCATCCACCCCGGCTGGCCCGGAAACAGGGCGGAGAAAACAGTGTTGACCGACGCCGGCTCTGGCCCGCCCCCCCCCCCCCCCGGAGAGCCGTCCCAGAAGGGGGGACATGGCCCCGACCTTCGAGCAGTCTCATTCATTCGATCCAGCCCAGCCTCCCCCGGGGCCCCGCCGCCGGCCGGTGTCCTCCCCCTCAGTTGGTTAGCACTTGGGGAGTCTTGGATTGCACATCATAGCCTCGCGCGCATTGTTCCCTCGGCCCGCAATCCCGAAGGAAGGCCGCACCCCGACAAGGCAGAGAGGGGTGACAACACCTGCCGCAAAGTGCATACATGACCCTGGCCTGGGGAGAGGGGGACATCTTGCGCCGCCCCCCTCCCCCCAAGCACGAATGACACACGCTTTTGGTTGCTACTTTTAGTGTGGTGTTTATATACTGAGAGAGAGAGAGGAGGGAGGGATGGGGGACAGACAGCCTGGGATGTGTGAAGCGGGTGTGCCGGCATACGCGACGGCTCCCTCGCTCCCGCCCCCTCCATGCCACGGAGAGAGGAGGAGAGAAAGCTCCCTTACATCTCGGCCTGGATGCTGCGCTGGTAGTACTTGGCGATGATCTTCGGGGAGATACGCTTGAGCATCTCCTGGGGGAAGGTGCGCATGAGGCTCCAGCCGATCTCCAGGGACTCGCGAATGGAGCGAGCCTCGTAGGAGTCCTGGCGGACGAAGGTGTTCTCGTAGCGGTCAAGGAACTCGAGGTAAAGCTTGTCCTCAGC